TGTTTAAAGATTCACAAATTTACTAATGCGACATGATTTTTTGTATAAGATAAAAACAGAGTGATGAAATGTATACCTATATTTATGTTAGTATCATTTTAAAGTTTCAAAATGCAAAAATTGAATTCATCACATTGTGAATTTCTCGTTGAATACTTTTGTAATTCTTTGAATGTAACTTTTTACTCCAATGTTTGAAGTATATCAATTCTTGTTAGATCAACTTTTCCTTTCCTTCAACAAAAAATCCCGGAGCATAATATCTGATGATTTATCTGGGACCAAGGGATTAGATTTCCTTGACTTATCAGTTATTGAGATTATACTTAAATAAAAAATTAATTGATTGCTATTTCATGATATTTGTTACAATTTTTCAATAAATGTACACATAATATATGATACATTTTTTAAAATTTTTAATTCATAGAATATACCTAAACCATTGTTTAGTTTTTTGGAAAATCTTTCCAACTGTCCAAATTCAGTACTCCTTTTAATTGATGTGATATGAAATGAATGATAATAAGAAACAAGATATGAATACAACGTAAGGATTAAGGTACATTTAGGATTTGAATTCAAAATTACATTTTATTATCTTAATATAGACTAGTATAATATTACCATATACACATTCAATAGCTCACTTATAATTTATGACTTATAATACATTCACAAACATTGATAAAGACAGTCATAATATTTTGTAGCACGTTCCATGACTGATGAAGCTACAGCGCAAGCTCTATTTTATGTATAAGGTATATTTTATCACTTATCGACATTACAAATGATTATCTTACCAATATTTATTTAAGATAATGTTGCGTCTGTCATTCGCACTGACATTGCCCGATCAGTGATCATCGCTATCAAATCAACATTTTTCTTTCTGAAAATTGACTTTCTCTTTTCTATATAAAACTTTCCTTAAAATTAATATTAACATACATAGAAAATATATTTATTTTAACTTAAATTGTTTTTATGACAACTTACACATTTCTATTCTTTTTTCTTTCAACATTAACCACAGTATAATATTGATCAGTAACTCAAACGTTAATATTTAAATATATACTCATTTAATTTAGCTGAAAATTTGTTGTATCAGGCTCATCTCTTTTCTTTGCCGATGTAAAATCTAATTACGTCAAATAGCGGAATCGAAATTCAGAAACATCATTTCTTCATAGATTTTTAGAATTTACGCCTTCCACATATAATTGTCAATTATGACTCCTTTTGTATTAGCCGATAAGATCTAACTATATTCTGGAAAATAAAAATAAAAACACGTTATTTTTGTTTTTACTTACGGGTATTTTTTTCGACAAACTTTTAATTTTCAATCTTATATAAAATCTATAAATTTCCGTTTTCTTTTCTTCTTCTTTTCTCAACGATACATGTTAATTTTCAAACATTACCACATTATTTATTGCGAATTAAAAATATTCTTTTAATTCTTTATAAACTGTTTGTTTCTCGAACACATGAACGTTTACTATTTGCTACATTATGAGCACATCGGAGTACATTGTATTTGAATTTATTTGTATAGTAATCATTTCAAATCGATGAAACTTGATGATGATTGGAGAAAGTGAGAAGCATAATGAAAAGACAAGCTCTTGGAATCTTTTTTTTTTTTTTCTCTCTTCTCTCATATGAATTGTTTAATTCGATATAACGAAGCCCTTTATACAATTTGTCGAGAAGCGATTACTTTCACGAACATGTTAGAGTAGCAGTAACTCTATTTAATCGCGAATTTTTGCAATTTCACGTACATATATATACACGTATATATGTATATATGTATATGTGTCTGTAGTTTTTACTGTATAAGCAATCATAAGAAACCTCGTATAGTTTAATTTTCTAATTTGTAATAGCTCTTTATGTTGATATAATTCTCATTAAATTTCTTCTTTTAGTAATTATATCGAATACATTCTGTAACCAACAGAATGGTAACATTTTTCAAAATGATGTATTTTATACATTTTACACGCGTGGTGGGATGAAACGTGATATATTTCGCATTGATATTATACTTGAAGAAATTTTCCTTATGAATATTTTTTTACAACTTTTTAACGAAAATAAAGCAGGGAATATGTTTCAACTAATAAAAACTTAATTGATTTTACTGTTTCAAAAAATGTTCTACCATTAATCACACAAGGTCAGATTGACAATAACGTTGCTTTGCGAATGTTATTATTAAAATATGGCTAGACATATTCAGTCAGGGTGGTTCGCGATGGTTGCATATTTTATTTTAATCTGTATATATATATATA